GTCATTCCATGAACGTCAGGGGCTGTGGGCTGCTGTGGGCCCCGATTTTATGGCCATTTTGGGAGGCTTGGCACGCTTCAACCGACCGTTTGATGGGGATATAATGGGATATGAAGTGGATATAACCAACTATAGGTACCAGTAGTACCGCACAAGGCGGTGGCGGAAGTTTCAAAAATAGGAAACCTATAGGAGAGCTTGGTTGTTGTGAATGAGGGATGGCAGAGCGAAGCCACTGATGGACCGAAAGGTGCTTGAGGTCTCCTCTCTTTCTCTCTCTCTTTCTCTGACTATCTACTTACCTACCACCCTATCTTCTATGTATCTATCTATCTATCGATCTTTCTATCTCTCTCTTTCTCTCTTTCATCTAATTACCTATCTACCTATCTACCTATCTACCTATCTACCTATCTACCTATCTATCTATCTATCTATCTATCCATCTATCCATCTATCTATCTCTCTCTCTCTCTTTCATCTGTCTATCTGTCTAGCTGTCTACCTGTCTGACTATCTATCTATCTATCTATCTACCTATCTATGTATCTATCTATCTATGTATCTATCTGTCTATCTATGTATCTATCTATCTATGTATCTATCTGTCTATCTATCTATCTATCTATGTATCTATGTATCTATGTATCTATGTATCTATGTATCTATCTATCTATCTATCTATCTATCTATCTGTCTGTCTATCTATCTATCTATCTATCTATCTCTCTCTCCATCTATCGATCTATTGCAGTTGTAGTTGTAGTAGTAGTAGTAGTAGCAGTAGTAGTAGTTGTTGTTGTTGTTGCTGTTGTCGTCGAAGTTAGGGTAGTTAAGCTAGTGAAGTTCCTTAAGTTAGTCAAGTTAGTTAAGTTAATCAGTGTCTACTTTTTCGACATCAGCACGTCAAAAAAGGCGCAAAAACCATGCAAAACCCTCAGTTTTTTACACTTTTGACTTCCAAATGTGCTTCACGCCACAACGGCATGCACTTTTTCGACACTTTTTCGACATCTGAACCTCTAAAAGTGGTCCGAGACCGTCAGTTTTTAACACTTTTGACTTGGAAATGTGCTTCGCGCCACAACGGCGTGCACTTTTTCGACATCGCAACCTCCAAAAGTGGTCCGGAGCTGCGGTGTTTTGCACATTTTGACTTGGAAATGTGCTTCGCGCCACAACGGCGTGCACTTTTTCGACATCACAACTTCCAAAAGTGGTCCGGAGCTGCGGTGTTTTGTACATTTTGACTTGGAAATGTGCTTCGCGCCACAACGGCGTGCACTTTTTCGACATCTCAACTTCCAAAAGTGGTCCGAGAATGGTGTGTTTTGTACAATTTGACTTGGAAATGTGCTTCGCGCCACAACGGCGTGCACTTTTTCGACATCTGAACATCCAAAAGTGGCGCGAACATGTGGTGTTTTTAACATTTTGACTTCGAAATGTGCTTCGCGCCACAACGGCGTGCAATTTTTCATCTCTCATCTGGCCAGCTGGCTCCGCACCCGCCGCTTTAGCGAGCCTACTTTTCGACCCTCCGGAGCCTCAAATCATTGGAAACACACAGTGTTTCGCGACTTTCCTACCTTTTCGCGCATCTGCATCTTCTTTCTTCTGACTCTTTCTCTTCTGATCTTCTCTCTTCTAATCTTTCTCTTCTCTCTGCCTCTTCCCTGCTCTGCTTTTCATCTGCCATATTGTCGGAAGTTTGACTTCTAAACTTCCTTCGACTATAGATGTAGATGGGTTTAGTTTGAAAATGGGAAGACTTGCCATTTTAGGAAAAAAACTGGGCTGGAATGTGGTACCCAACGGTTACCCTATGGCTATCGCTATCTTTGGACAAACCAATTAATATCAACCTTAATATCAATAGTCAATAGTTGTCACCGGCAAACATCACTTAAATCCTATCATGTTCCTCTCAAAACTCTCAAAACTGGCTGTTCAACATCACAACTTCCCAGCAGCTTAGGGCACCACTATCCTCATGGCACCAATAGCGTCGCGCGTACTGCGCGTACCGCACCCAACGTGCAGTGTGTCTGCCATCTGGAGTCAGGTCCTAGTGATCAAAAATAAACGGCTGTACCACGGAGCTGGGCGAACGGGATTCACGGGATTCCATCAAATTTCCGAAGAATGGACAGTGAGAAATGGATATAATATAATATTATATAATATAATTTAATATAATATAATATTATATTATATATATACAGTATATATATATATATGCCTGCCGGCTGAGTAAAATTTCTTCCGCCAGCCGAGGCCAAACAAATTATTGTCGCTTCAGTGTATAATTTCTGCCGTCTCAGCCAAAACTTTCAACCGTTTGGCGGGATTCTTGCCGGGACAGCTGCCATTCTTGCATTTCTCGCACTTTTTTGATACTCACACACCCTGGGGAACATGGGCTGATATGTAGCATGTCAAAGTCCAAACAAAAATAATTTACGCCGTTTGGTTGGGAATTTATGCCATTTCAGTTTGTCATTTTTTTGGTAGAAGTGTTCAAGCTGGACACATGAGTTATGTGTTCTTCATGCGGCGAAAGTCTCTGCCACACCTGTGGAATTGAGAAGAGAATCCCACTCCACTCAAAACATCACAATTAGCTGGGCTGGAACCATCCAAAATCCAAAAACTTCCGTCTCATCAAAAAAGCTCCGTTTGAGGGTTGGCCCCTCCAAAATTTATTTTTTCACCAAACATAATTCATATGTATATATATATATGTATATATACATATATATAACTATGTATATATATATATATATATATATATGTTACAATCCCCGAACTAATCACCCAACAGGGGTTTAGCAGCTACTGCTCATCTGTTTTTAAACCTCTGCGTAATGGTGTAACGGCTAAGAACTTCTTACAACCTTGCGCAAGGTTTAGACAGCAAAAAAAGATTGCCATGGTAAACTAACATAACTAATATAACTATGGGAAAATCACCATTTTTAATGGGAAAACTCACTATAAATGGCCATGTTCAATAGCTATATTTAAATTACCAGAGGGTAGTTGACTGGTTGTTTGGGGTGATGGTTCAGAACCATTGGAAACTCCTATGTAACGGATTCTCAAGAATGGGCTCTTCCAATGAACCACCAACACTAACGCTGACTGACTTAAAGTATCTTAAAGTGACATACACAAGGGGAACTGCAAAACAGATCAAAGAAGTGTACCCTTTGGTAATTTAACATAGCTCTTGAAAATGGCCATTTATAGTGGATTTTCCCATCAAAAATGGTGATTTTCCATAGCTATGTTAAATTACCAGAGGGTATACCATTCTATACCTGATGAGGTCCCAACACAAAAAGTCTCCAAATGGAAACCCCAACGCTAGGATCAACCAATACCATCAATACCCAATCGAGGGTACAAAAAGATCGGGGTTCAGATAAGGGGGGAGGAGTTGTGCAGATGGTTTTGGTAGATACAGAGCGGAATGCATAGGGTGCACAACTACAAAATGCAAGTGCATGTGCTTTTTTTTCAGCTACAAAATGAAGAACATAACTCTTTCTGGCTCGGAAAATAATTCAAAACCAGTACTACAAAATCCAATGCATCTGAAGTCAAAAAAATAGCTGAACGTCGGAACTTCTAACATGATTTTTCCCAATGACATTTTGTAGTTGGGTCTTTGCCATCCAAAGTTCCGACCAACATAAATTCGGAGAACATTTTGTAGTTGTCAATGATTGAATTTAGTTGGATCAAGTGTTTTCCAAGTGTTTTCCTATGGCACCTTGATTGGGAGCATAGGGGCCGGTTGCATGGGGGTTGGCTCTCAGTTAGTGGGGGACATTCATTAAAGTTGAACGTCTTTTTCATTCTTACCCATCTTGATCATTCCTTATCTGTGTTATCCCTGTCCCTGCACCTCAGCATACATACAACTACAAAATGCAAATGAATGTTTAGCATGAATGCAAATGAGATTTTATGTTGGATGCTTCAACTATTCAACCTGTACAGCTACAAAATGCAAATGAGATTTTATGTTGGATGCTTCAACTATTCAACTTGTACAACTACAAAATGCTAATGAAATTTTATGTTGGATGCTTCAACTAACTCAACATATACAACTACAAAATGAAAATGCATGCTTTGAAAGGAATCAACTACAAAATGATTACAAAATGGGGGGCACAACCCCTCCTGATTGTACAAAAAAATGCTGGCTGGCAATCTGTACTGTAGCCCAAGTCCTCCCCATTTCGTAGCTGAAATTTGAAGGTGGATACAAAAAGGTCATCCATGGCTCCCTAGCTGCCTTCATCAATAAATATATGCTACTTGGCCAGCCTGCAAAAGAATGTAGATGTGGAAAACCCACTGTTTTGTAGATCATTTTCCGCATGAGAAGAAACCAAGGCTTTTCCACACACATCTCTTTGTATCCCCGGTAATCTTCAATACATAGCTGGAAGCATTCTGGCGCCTGCGAACTGCCAGAGACGGATCCATGGACTGCATGTCCAACAGTGAGGTCGTTTTGTGGTTTCGATTTCAGTCCACGTTTTCTGTTGCTGGGAATCTTTCATGTTGGTCAAAGCCCATGAAAGGCAGTACAGCCGCGGTCACACCTGAAATCCGGACGTAGCATCTACTGTCAGCCTCGCTGGCCATGCGCAAAATGCATGAAGATAGTGTCAACCCCGGATTCATAAACCCTGACGAACTACCGCAGTAGGCCCCAAAACCTGTCAATTTGCTCCTACTCGGTCACATGGAAAATCACAATACGTAAACCAATGATTCAGATAGCATTGCGAGTGGGGTCCAAAATCAACACACCATTTGCATACGATTAGCATACGACTTTACTTTCCTGAGTTTTTTCACCCTTTTTGTTGTCCAAACAAAAAGTCAGGGAGCATGGCCCCTCCGGCTGCTTGAAACTGCCCCGGTTTTGGGCCGCGAAACGCAGCCGTTTCGGGTCAAACATCTGAATTCGCTGTGCATCACGCTTCGTCATCCAGAAGGGAGCCCAGCTCGCACAGTGCGCCTGGGAATGTCATCCAGGTGGAAACAAAGAGGTTTGACCCGTTTGACCCAACCAACATGGAATGAAATCGGAGTAATTGTAATATTTTCTAGGGAAACGTATGATTGAACAAACCAATTAGTTGGAAAATTCGCTTGTTGGATTCTATCATCACAAAGGTTAATCGTGGCTTTGCCTGAAAATTGGGTCCCCCAAGTCATCCCCTGGTTCATCAGTTCATTCAACAGGGTATCCGCCAAAAGCTTAGACAAAACCAAAAATCATCATATTGTATTTTTGGGTTACACTGTATATATATATGTATATATATATCCATGTATATCCCATATACATCCCCTACTAAAACATCACATACAGTGGATGGAAGAAATCCTGAACCAGTTTACCTGTTCAAAAGATTTTTCCTGATCATCATTTGCATATCTTAATAATTATATATATATATATTATCACATATTCTCACATATTTATATACAAATATTGTTATTTTAGAAGAATCCAGGAATATATCAATTGTTTTATAGGTGGTTTATCCAATTTTTTATAGGGTTTCAACATGTTTCAACCATCCGGTTGGTGGTGCAGGAGTTCGCAACCATCCAGAGGACTCCACATGAGATCGATCGCCAGGGGACCATCGGCGGTGCGCACCGAGCGAATGGGCTTTGCGCGTGGGGAAAGGGTGAGGAAGGTGTTCTTGACCTGGAGGGGCTGATGTGGGGCTGATTGCACTACTGGATGTCTTGGGGGGCTGATGCTTTTGGAGGCTCTGAAAAAGGCTCTGAACAGTGATGCCAAATTTGCCGGGTTATCAGTCACTGTATTGCAATTTTTCAATGGCCATTGAAATGTATACCCCATTTCCAGACAGACCCATATCATATCTTGTACCCCCAAACTATGGGAATTATCCATGAGCAATAGGGATTCAACCAACAAAAAAAGATAGGAACAGAATGGGATAAATTGTTTTGATGGCGCGCAATGGCTTAAGTGATGTAGCATCAGAAGTTGTTGGACATTTGGACATGGAAAAGTTCGATGGACTTCACAAAGAAAAACAGGGAATTGACTGGCCATTCTATGGGAATAGTTCATGGGATGTAACCAACATGATGGGATATTGCCTGCAAATGGGGGATGGCGCCCCCCATTGCCATTTTAATCAGGATCGATAAGGATCATGATGATGGCCCCCAGTGGCTAACCCGTGGTACCTATTCTCAGACCAGCCATTAATATGTAATCTGTTTGTTCCAATGATTTGACGTAGTTCCAATACGTAGAGTATATTTGATGGTCCAGTGATGACGATTTAGATTAACCACAAACAATCAAAATCAAGATTTCCAATCCAAATACTACTGTAAGGTAAATTGTGGTTTCCTAAAATAGGGCTACCCCCGGCCCCCAGCCATCCATTTATTGGGGTACCAAATTCTGACAGAGACAAGTTTTGGGCTGGGGGATGAATCATCGATCTCATTCAACATCCCAGATGCGAACCATGGTCCTGGAATATAAAAACCTACAAGACTTTGTCATTATTGGGGTAAATGTAGGTAATTATATAAATATTCCAGCACCATAGAGCATCTGGGTATCATCATTTGCCTAGAACACTTTTCTGCAGGATGATTGCCTGATTCCGTGATGAAGAAAAGATGATTCGGATGATGATTGACTACCAGCAACACTAAAATGAGTTGTTCATCAGCGAAAATGTCTACTTGGTGGTTTCAACCCCCTTGAAAAATATGAAAGTCAGATTGGATCATCATCCCCAATCTGGTTGGGGAAAATAAAATTCATGTTCCAAACCACCAACCAGATGTGGGTGCAACCAACAAAAACCACACCCGGGGATCAGTGACTCAGTTTGTGAACAGGGCTGGAAAACCCACGGCGGGATTGGTGGAGGATGGACCCCAACGAGTCCAAAACATGGTAACTTGACCATGAATGAATGCAACATGTGATAAAATGTGATAAATGTGACTAACATTAATTTGATATTTTATACAATGAATATTAGTTCATTACATATATATATAATTATATATATATATGTTCACAGAAACCAGCAAATCACCAACAAATCACCCACTTGGTGGTTGATCTCGAATCAATGTGCGAGCTTTCAGTATGGTGCATGGCCCATGGCGGTTTTTTTATTTTGGCCAGTGAGGTCGTCGAGACGCTGAATCCAACATGGTCCAAATCTCCAGAAGAAAATATCACCTGTTCGTGGTTGAGAACCATTTTTTTGCACTAAGAACAAGCCATTTTGTTTAGAATCCTGGCCCTTTTCCGTATTTCTAAAATCGGCCCTTTTCGCGTTCAACACGCGAAGCTGGATCCAGACTCTGAGCCCATGGGCCTAGTTTTTGTAAATCCAACTCAGTAACTGCTGGAGGAACCCCAGGCCGTAAGTCATCCAACGAATTATTCTATATGATTTATGCTGGTTGGTGGTTGAGCCCTACCCCTCTGAAAAATATTAGTCGGATTATCCCATGTATTATGGAAAATAAAAAATGTTTGAAACCACCAACCAGTATATATATATATCATTTACAACTGGGTTATGACCTGCTATTGACCCCACATCCACATCCACTGCTTGCAGTTAGTGAGCACCAAATCCCGCCCAGCCTGCCAAACATCTTCGCGCTCCAGGGTTGGGCTGTAGCTTTGCGCATAGAGCTGGGAGTCCCACAAACCATTGGCCGGGTTGAGGCACGTACCTGCCGTCTTCGCTCTGGTTCGGGAAACGCCAAGGATGGAGGATGATAAAAATCCCATCTCGATTTTTTCTATGGCCCTTTTGGGTCCCAGTTTACAGACCTAATATGTGTTTCTTTGTTCAGGGGATTATGGTTGCAACGGTGGTGACCTTGGTTCTGGTCATCATGTCATCTCGATGACCACCGCGTCTGGTGAATTCTCTTTGAAGCTTCGCAACGGACAGGCAAAGGTAAGACATCTGGAAGGATATCCCATATATTCCCAGATCATGTGTTTATTGAATCCGTTTTTTTAGGGGACATATAACATGTGTATAATTTTGAACACATTCTCTGAAATGTACATCTGAAATACAACTTAAATGACTCTTATTATCGCTATCTCACAAGGCACCGAGCTTTTCGGGTGAACGAAGTTGGGGGGTCAAAGCCGATACCTTTTTTGGGTGTGAACATCATTAGTTATGTTGAGGTTCACCCTGGCCCTGCGCACTGGCATGACTGGGACATGCTTGTGTCGAGCCCGCCGAAGTGGCCTCGCAGTGTCTGTTTGTTATGTGCTGTTTTTTTGCCGAGGTACTTGGAACACATAAAGAACATATGGCTTTCAGAATGATGTATTTAATATATATATATAATTTATATAATATAATTATACATTGTGTAGGTATATACAGTTTATACAATTCATGGCTACATAATTTTAATGTTGGACCCAGACACTCACGAACGCCATCACAATAGGTGTTTGCCTGAACATGTTGATGTCTTTTTTGCATTTCAGAGGATGCTCTGCGCATTTAGGGGTACTCTGAGCGTCAAGGTACTATCAAGTACACTTTGGAGTAAGTACGGAAAGGCATAATACCCTCTGGTAAACTAACATAACTATGGAAAATCACCCTTTTTCATGGGTAAATCGACTATAAATGGCCATTTTCAATAGCTTTTTGTATGTTTACCAGGCCGGGTAATCATGTTGTGATGTTACAGCACAAAAAAGACCCGAGTGCAATGGCTTCGGCGGCTCATCTTGGCCCAGAGGCGTGAAAATATGTTTGAGACTGTTATTGTCTTTTTGGGGATCCGTTGAGATATGGCTATGAGTCATAACCCTGGTACCTAGTGAACCACAAAACAGCTGGTAAATGGATGTTCATCCCATTAAAATTGATACTAATAGGTTTTGACCCATCCCCATATATTTTTTCACTGGTTGCTGATGTGAAAAAATGACGAAAAGCAAATGGATATCCAGTGATAATGTTGTCACAATAGAGCTAAGGATGCTGAAAAAAATCACCGGTTCACCGATTTGGTCCGATTTGGTCACCAATTAAGGATATGTTCAGTCACCAAGTTCATGAAAATTATAAATGGGATCTCTCAGTTACCAGTTAGTTATGAAGATTGGTTATTAAGTTATTAACCATTGTTAGCCAATATTACCAATATTAATGCATTATAATCATCCCCAATAGTCCAGCTTGTTTTGGGCCACTCGTTCATGACACGAAAAAACGGGTATAACTTGCTGTCATCAGGTCCCAAAGATCGGTAGCCAACTCCAAAATCCAGGGATTTTATGTTAGTTAATGGATCGGATGAATGTTTTTTTTGAGGAAACACCACTTTTTCCCATGATTTTTGTGTTTTTGTTCCTCATCCAATTCTGGATTCATTCCAGAAATCGTGGATAGAATCAATGGCTGCTGGGGATTACAGTTCACAACTTACTCAACTTAGCTATCCCCAGGTCCCCCAGGTCCGCCAGGTTCCCCAGGTCCCCCAGGTCATCAGCCCAGTTGCCCCAGCACTTCCCGCTCGATTCTCACGCTCCTTCAGCTGGACCTGGCTCGTCCAGGGCACTGGATGTAGGTCCGACGCCAGGAGGCCATGGAGGACCATAATGACGTCCAGTATAATATTATATATATATTACACAATTATATATATATATGTATAAATATACATGTTTATATAATTATGTATATATACGTATATATGATGTGATGTGCAACATAGATTGATATGGATCATAATGAACACACAAATCACCAGTTTCAAGACCATTCGTTCATGAAGATTGACAGAACCTGGATGGTTGTTTTTGGAAGTATTGCCACTATTGGAATAAACTGAAGCAAAACATTTCTTGACGGGGGCCCGCGACTGAGTCCTTAAAATCAAACATCCCCAAGTTCACTCTTTTAAATTTCCAACAGTTCACTCATTTGAGTCCTTAAAATTTTCCAAATTTACATTCGAATTGTTTGTTCTGGCTATTGAAATTTCAAAATTACCCTCTGGTAAACTAACAAAACTATGGAAATGGAAATGACCTTTGTTTTGTAGGTAAATCATCTATTGGGCCATTTCCCATGGCTATGTTAGTTTACCAGAGGGTACTTCTCTTGATAGCTGAAATCCTCCTACCATCCAAAGAATATCTCCTCTTTCCAATAGCTGATCTTTCGATGGCGATAGGTCATTTTGCTGTTTGGCGGATGGTGATCCAAGAAAAAAAACACCAGAAAAATATGTGTTTTTTGCGATGATTTGCGATGTTTTTTTTATCCAAATCAAGCACCCCTTTTCCCATGATAAACATCCATGATGTCTTAATATTCTCATTGTAAACCCATTACAGATCATTATAGTTATAATTTTCCTGCAATAGTTATGATATATAATATACCCTCCCCCCAATGAACGTAGACCCTGAAGATAGTCATTGTTTAAAGTGGAAACCAATCTTTAAGTCCAACTTGTCGCAGGGTCTATGTTAATTTACTGGAGGGTAAACCCGTTTAAATGTCTAAACTCATAGGGGGATGGGTCAACACCTATATTATTACCATATGACTGGGGAATAACCATCCATTAACCCCATCGATTTTATCACTATATACCTAGAGTATCCATCCGAGTGCCAGGGTGTTGGGCTTCTCACAGTGTTTTGGGGAAAATATTACTTATCAACGTATCACCATGATTAACCATCATTAACCATCATTAACCATCATTAACCATCATTAACCATCATTAACCATCATTAACCATCATTAACCATCATTAAGCATGGAAATCCCTATGGGAATATACCATATGATCCGCTTGTGTACTATAACCATCATCAACCATCAGTTTCGAACGGATCTCCCCAAAACCATTCTCCAAGGCGTTCGAACGTCACGCCGCGAACTCACGCCTCAAGGTGAGGATTTGCCAAGTGAGAGACTAGACCTGGCATCGCTTGGATGGCTTGGTTGGGATGGGCCATGGAGTTACTATGAGTTACTGGGCCATGGTCCAGAAAAATTGATTGTACTTATTGCAATTGTTTTTTTCGTGGTGTTTTTGAACCAGTTGCTAAACACGAAAACATTAAGCTAATCACATGGCCCATCTAAGTGAGTAATGGTCATGAGTATTTGCATCGTTGAAATAGTGAACCCAACCACCACCATGGAGTTCGGTTCAAATCCTGAAATGAGTGTGACAATTTAGTTGAAACCCCAATTCCATCCAGTGGATAATAATCATGGTCCCAAGTCAATGACCATTTTATGGGTACAATGTTTTTTGTGGTAAGTGTCTAGTAATTTACCATAGCTATGGAAAATGGCCCATTGAAATAGTTGATTTACCTATTAAAGATGGTGATGTTCCATCGTTTTTTGTATGTTTACCGGAGGGTAAGTGTCTAAGAAATATGGTGAGTCGTTGGAAAATTGTCGTCTCGGAAATGCCAGTGATCCCAATGAGACAATTGGGGCCCGTCCCGCATTGACAAAGGAAAACACATCTCTCTCATTCCACCCCATTGTATTCCCACTATATTATTTATACATGCTATATGCAAACTATATATACAAACTATAAAAATAGTGGGAATATATCGAATATACAAATATATTGAGGTTCTGGGATTATTTAATTGCCATGTATAATGTGTATATATATATATACACACATAATAATCATTCCATGATATTGGTTTCCATGATATTGGTATACCCATGATAATGTATAAGGATGTATAAGGGGCATGTATTGAGGGGACTATACTCCCATTATATAATATCATACACACATTGACAATAATCGCATTATACACTCAATTATGTACATATACAGTGTATACATATCATATATATATATATAATACCATGTATTTATATATAATATATGACGGTTTGTCACAATGTCTGTTCCTGGTTTGGTTGCTAAATCGTAATTCCTTGCGTGCCGCTTCTTGTTTGGTCTTTAAGAAAATAACTTATCTATATAAGTAGTCTGAAACCCTGCATTTTATCTTTCATGTTTGAAGCCGTAGCTAAAACCTGCCGTAAATGCTAACGCACGTCCATATGAAGTGGGTGCCGCTGCTAGTTATTAGTGGTGGAATTGGAATATGTGTTCATCTGCTGCAGGGCTTGTCATTGCCTTTGCTGTCACTGTTGCTTTTGTCAAACAGACAGGATAAACTACAAGTTCTATGGTGGCAACTGGGTCACGGGTCAGCCAAAGCCACTTGTTGAAACTTTTGCTAGCGCATTGCTAGCGGGGATATAGCGGGTAAAATTACGTACAAATTCGCAAAATTGAGCCGCAACCTCAAAAATATAGGAAAAATGTTGAGTAGCACAGAAATTCACTAAGACATTTTAGGTTTAAGGAGCTAAGTGTTACATCTCGAATTTTCTTCATGTTGAAATAACAAGCAGTCAGGAACACATAAAACATATCCTTGAACATGGGTGTGAAAAAAAAATACCGCTAACCTGGCAGCTTTGCTAGCGCTGCCTTGCAGAAATAGTGAATTTAGTTGCGCGCCGCCTCATAACGAAGAGGAAAAACCACTAGGTCCACACTAATTATCAACAACTGGTACAAAACTTCTGTCAACTATGTTTGGCAAATGGTCATATATGTACACATTGTATATAATATACATAATTATGTGTCTATATATGACAGGTCATATATATATATGATAATCATCACAACCTGTCCAACTTGACTGGGGCTTGTCAGCCCTTCCTGGCCAGGCACCTGCAGCTTGAGACAAGTCCTCGCTTCGCCGCCGTTTTTCGTGACATCATAGCCATATCAGAATGTGTTTTTGATGGTTTTTGTAACCACATGTCAATCATGTGTATACAGAAATGTGGTTAAAGCAACAATAAACCATCCATTTGGGAATGGTTTATACAACCTATTTATGGTGAAATTGGGGATGGTCTATTATTGTTTAACCAACATTATAGTTATATATTATTGACAATACTGTTAACTCATTGCATGGTCCTTGACTGGCAGCATCTACTAGTTGGTTCATCGTTGCTGTTTGTGCAGGTCGCTTGGTGAATGTATTTCAATGGGCACCCCGCAACCGATATCATATAAAACAGTAGTTTTGATGAAGTGAGAGCAAGCATGGATTCGGGGAGGGTGTGCAATCATAGGGAACAAAGGGTTTTGAATCATTGTTCAACAGTCACCAATTACTTTATAAGTCTTTATATACTGGTCTTGATGATGTCCCTACAAAAGGTTTACATAGTCATGTCTGTACAGGTACTCCTTAGGTTTCCTTCGATTTCAAGCATTTCAATCTAAAACATCTGCCCCACTGCCCCACTTATCATGCCCAGATGCTCCATGGTGCTGGAATATTTACCTACATTTGGGCAATTTTTGTGGTGAATGTAGGTAAATAGTCCATACATGGAGCATATGGGATGGCCAATCTTGGATATGCAAAAAATGACAAATTCTTAGCTGGTGAACGTAGATAATACCATACCAAAAGACTAAAGGATGAGTTTCTACCCATCCAGTAGATTGACCTAGATATGGTTTCCCAGTTTATAGGTGATTTTCCCATGGTTTTCCTATGGTCTTCCCATCCAGTCGATTGACCTGTTGATCCGAGCATCGTAAAGGCTACTGTCCAAGACCTGCGCCTCCTCCTCGTCACTCTCACCTTCAGGGGAAAGCTCAGGATGTCTTATGGAAATTGAGGATTTAACTATGGAAATTGAGGATATAACTATGGACATTGAGGATTTCACTATGCACATTGAGGATTGAACCATGGAAATTGAGGATTGAACTATGGAAATTGAGGATTTAACTATGGAAATTGAGGATTTTACTATGGAAATTGAGGATTTAACTATGGAAACTGAGGATATAACTATGGACATTGAGGATTTCACTATGGACATTGAGGATTGAACCATGGAAATTGAGGATTGAACTATGGAAATTGAGGGTTTAACTATGGAAATTGATTATTTAACTATGGAAATTGGAACTATGGAAATTGAGGATTTAACTATTGAAATTGAGGATATAACTATGGACATTGAGGATTTCACTATGGACATTGAGGATTGAACCATGGAAATTGAGGATTGAACTATGGAAATTGAGGATTGAACTATGGAAATTGAGGATTGAACTATGGGAATTGAGGATTGAACTATGGAAATTGGGGGTTTAACTATGGAAATTGAGGATTTTACTTTGAACTATGGGAATTGAGGATTGAACTATGGAAATTGAGGATTTTACTATGGAAATTGAGGATTGAACTATGGAAATTGAAGATTTTACTTTGGGAATTAAGGATTGAACTATGGAAATTGAGGATTGAACTATGGAAATTGAGGATTGAACTATGGAATTTGAGGATTGAACTATGGAAATTGAGGATTGAACTATGGAAATTGAGGATTTAACTATAGAAATTGAGGATTGAACTATGGAAATTGAGGATTGAACTATGGAATTTGAGGATTCTAACTATGGAAATTGATTATTTAACTATGGAAATTGGAACTATGGAAATTGAGGGTTGAACTATGGAAATTGAGGATTGAACTACGCAAAAATGAATTTATACCCTCCAGTGATGAAACGCGTCAGGGAAATCCCTGAACTAAATGGAGGTTTCTTGCTGGGAAAATTATCAAAGTGAATGGTGAATTGTCCAGCCAGCCACGTTTGATTGCAGAAGGGTAATAGTTCACTAGGGTTTAGGGTTAATAATATATAAATATATACTATACTAATATATATATATATAATAATATGTATATATATATATTATAATATATATATATATATATTATAATATATATATATATTATAATATATATATATATATTAGAATATATATATTATAATATATATACATTATATATATTATTATATAAATTATAATATATATATTGTAATATATATATATATTATTATATATATATATATGTATACATTATTATATATATATGTATATATTATTATATATATGTATATATTATTATATATATGTATATATTATTATATATATGTATATATTATTGTATATATGTATATATTATTATATATATGTATACATTATATATTATAATATATATATATATATAGTTTATATCCACTGTTTGTTGATGATTTCACTAATATAACTAGGGTTTATGGTAGATGTATCTATGGTTAGATAGGTAATAATCGCTCAGGTTCCCTACCCTCTGGTAACAGGTTGCCATGGAAAATAATGGACAATGGCCATGGAAATAAGAGGGACACCAACGAACCAAATGGGTAATTTCCTGTGGCTACGTTAAATTACCAAAGGCTAGCCTGCAATCAAAATATTACCCTCGGGTAAACTAACATAGCTATGGAAAATTCTCATTTATAGTATAGTTAACTTACGTACTAAAAAGGGTGATTTTTCATAGCTATGTTAGTTTAACAGAGAGCAAATTTCATATGAAATCTCAGCTGCCTATGCGATAGTCCCCCATCGAGGCAGAAAATCGGGCTATTCACCTGCCATTCACCTGCTTGGTTTACGTAGAGTATCGAAAATTACTGTACTTCTCAGTGCTCAATTTCAAATGTTGATCTACCGCAGTCTAAAACCATACACAAACCTATCATTGATAAGTGAATCCCCTAATATTGGCAATATCCCAAAAAGGCCGGTGTGATATCATCCCATGGAAATTCCAAAGTCCCCATGGACATTGGCTGGTCAATCCCATGGTTTTGGTAAAGTGTTGTTGACCCATTCTCTGGGATTTGCTTACTAAAATGCACTGAAAAATAAGCCAAAGGTTCCCTATATCTGTGGTAAGATATCTGGTTACCATATATAGTTACCATATATACCATTAATATAGCCATCTATAGATAGTAACTATTGGTACCATATATCTAGGTCAATTAGAATAATGCACCGACCTGAAATGTGAAGGCCATTTGGGGATGATTCCCCAAATCCAATTCCCATGATTCCAGGGTTCGGTCACAACGCGAGGTCACCATTTTTGCCTGCTTAGATGGGCCATGGAGTTGATGGAAACTACTTAGTAAATGGATTATCATTGACATCATTGGAATATAATTCGTGGAAATTATACCCCATTCAATCCCCTGAACTTCTGTTAAATCACCATGAACTTTGATGATTTTTGATGTATATAACCCAGCGAGAAAAAACCAGGGTTATCGCTCCCTTTTTTCCCGCCAAGTCGCTCGCAGCCAAGCGATCTAAGCGGCCCGCGGCTGAGCGAATGGGCCGCATCTTGCCGATGGGACCCAGTTCGCTCTCCTCGGGGGGTGGCAGAAGCCATGGAGAAATGCTGGGACGCCTCTCGTGGTCCATGAAGGGTTAGATGAAGCCCATGGGTTTCTCATGGTTGGCCATTTGGTTAGTTTGGGTTAGATGAACTAACCCAATGTTTTTTGATGAGACATTATGGCGGAATTCAACGGAACGAGTCCGAAAGTCCTTGGGATACGGCGTTGAGAAAGCCAGCCATCCATTGTTGACCCGTTTGGTCCAGGGTTTATGCTTTGGGATAGTGAAGAGGATTAGATATAGCCTCTGATAAACGTTTACATTAAAAAAAAAAACTATGGAAAATCACCATGTTTATCCATTCTTAATAGGTAAATCAACTATAAATATGGTGGTCACTTTGGAACGGACCAGAAGTGGGTACCAGGATAAAGGGGTGCTATGGACCCCAACAGCAGGTGCTAATCTAAGTCAAGCTGTCAAATTCCGCAAACTCAAAAGCATGTTACGACTGTGTCATGGTACCATTCCCAACTCCAGTCCCAGCCGATTTTTCTTCAACATGTTCCCAAGTTGTGCATCCCATTGAGTTGATCGCTGAAAAAAAAACACGGAAACCAAGAAACATCAAAAAACTGGGGCCCAATGATGCTATTTTTCTATATTTTTTTTGAATCATGGAAAATCATGATGAATCTATTATAATATGTGGATTTTTCGTACTTAACAATGCATTTTCTCTGGTTAACCTCCTCCTCTTCGTTGGGTACATCCCTATTGTCCATTTGTCCTGCTCCTGCCCGGAAGAAATTTTGATGCATCTACTATCTGCCTTTACCATCATGTTTGTTCAATGGGAATTTCAGGATCCTAAAGTGGAGGTACTGTACCATATAAGGCCATATTTTGTGGGGATATTCCCTTACATAGGCCTTATATAGGCCTTATATATGGTAGGTACATCCAATTTAGGATCCTGAGATGGCCATTGATTTGTTGATGTTTGCTGATTTTGTTGTATCCATGCCTAACCTTAGGATAGCCAGCAGAATTTTGTCCTCCATCCTCCACCGAAAATCATGGCCATCCCCACCCCAGCTTTCCAGCTCTACTGTATCAAAGGCCACAGCAGTTTCTGTTCCAAAGGTAGATGTGGAGTTGGTTAAGTGGTTTCAGTTACCCAGTCCTGATTTGGATCCGGCTTGACATGGCTTAATTATTGGATTAACCACGAGCAAAGGGTTTAAGTCACATCACTTGGGCAGAAGTCACATCAACCCCATGGCACAGCGAGTTGGAAAGTCAAATCAATTCGGCAAAAGTCACATCAAAATATCAGAATCCCCATGGCAGACATGCATTCAGGAACGAAGCCTATATGTGAAAACATGAGGAAAACAAAAACTCGCGCACAATGAGTCGCCAACACATGTTTAGCGCACGCAAAATTTAACAGGACATCCTCAAGAATCACCATGGCACAAATCCCCATGGCCCAGGTCTTTCATCACAAATCCCCATAAATAATGGGCATCTTTTTGGCCACATCAACTTCCGCCAGGTGTCCAGGAAGGTCTTGTTGACCATGGATGGGTTCACATAGGCAGGGCCAGGACCGCCCGCAGCCGTCGACACCGTCGACACCTTCGCCGCTGGTGCCACCGCGGTGCCGGAACTCGAAAGCGGCGCCACGCCGCGGTCAGCATCAGAGGCTAAGCTGATGGGTCCTGGGGACGGCCATGGTTGGTATCACTGGGATTCATTGGATTTATCCCAAACTTAACTGGAGATATTGAGATATAAAATTCCCAAACTTAACTGGAGATATTCTACAAAATTTAAGGGGACATCTTCACCGCAAAGCATCAGTGAACACTCAGAAGCGAAATGATCATGGCGCTTCAGTCGCCAGCAATACTGGCCGCGGAAGAAATGCCAAAGTTTAACAACGTGGCCCATCCCCAAATGGTTGGCGTAAAAATGAGTAAAAACAAGATGCATTTCAGGTTCAACAAGAGCGAAACTGCGACAAATAACTGCTAACAACGCAGTTAATCCACCTGAGAGCAGAATTCTGAACCATTTCTCTCTCACTAATACCTTGCTGAATCACAGACATAATTAACCGTGTTATGAAAAGGTACGTTTAGGATGATTCCGAAAATGGAAATCAGCAGTTGTTGGGGCTTGCATACGCTGTATATAATCATTTATACAATAATACCGCATATGTCATTTCATCTAACCATCATTTTTGTAACATACATCAACTATATCTATAATATATGACATTCATATATATATATAAACCATCATAAGCCCATAGGATGGGCATCGTTCCTGGCGCACAAGGATGCGGACTTCGCACTTGCCCCGGAATCCATAGATTTGCATCCTGAGTTTTCGGGCAGTTTTCGTTCGGGGCCACTTCGGAGCCAGTGTCATGGGGGTTCGGTTCCATCGTCAAAATATGAGGAAAACGGTCGTCATCCAACGGACAATAAACCGATTCTTGGAGAATAGCGCGAATCTGATCTGATTTCGAATTGAAATCATGTATCCATGATTAGAATCTGATTGGATTTCTTCCAGTTAATAATAACTATAATAACTAGGATTTCTGGCGGATATATCTAAAAATATCTATCTGGTTGGTGGTTGCTGCTAACCCCTCTGAAAAATGATGGAGTGAAAGTCAGCTGGGATGATGACATTCCCAACATGATGGGAAAGTCATAAAATTCCATGGTTCCAAACCACCAACCAGATGATTTACGGTTAAGAAATGATTGAACCATGATTAACCATGGATACTAATGATGAATAATGGTAATCAATGATGATTCATGGGGGTACCCTTTATTGCTGGATCTGGATGGTTTATTTCATGAAAAAATACCAAAGAATGATTTGGAGGCCGCCCTATGACTTAGGAAAGCCCCATTTTCCATGGTACTTCGTAAGGGGGTGGGAATGGACGGGAATGGATGGGAATGGCATGTTGAAAATATATGTGAAACTGCTTTTGGATTGGATTAACCCCATTCCCTGCCAAAAAAACACCAGTAAGTTTTTGTTGGGTAGTCAAACAGTGAAACAACAACAACAACAACAACAACAACAACAACAACAACAACAACAACAACAACAACAACAACAACAACACCGCCATCAACACCAACACCAACACAAGGCCTTGAAATTGCACCAGATCAAGTGACCTGGTCAAACTGTGGACATCTCCCATGATCTTAGTCGGATTTTGACGATGTTTGCCTGTAAAAATAACTTACAGTTAGCACACTGGAAAACAAAAAACATACTATAGTTATAAGTACCATAAACCATTTTTATTGGGGCTTATAAACCAACTTAGCTATCTTGGGGGCCTCACATTGTAGGTAAATCATAGAACTAAATGGCAATTTCGCTCAACACCAGCTTTTTTTTGAGGGTATCAAGTGATAAACCCAATCTGATATCGTCCAATGCCGCGATTCCACACCCCATGCAGGAATTCCTGACGCGACAGGACGATGCGATGCTCAAGAGGGACCTTGGGGGTGGTTTTTCCATCGCTTACAATCCCAGTCATCGGCTCAAGACTCTT